TGTATAGCAAAAGGGAATACATTCAGGCACTTCTCCAAACCAGGAGCCATGCCACAAGGAAGACTAGACGCTGCTCAGTCTTTGTTGAGGGTACCCTGCACCCTGTCACCTTTCTCAGTAACTAATGCTGATGTGAGAAAGTCCCACTGACCTTGATTGTTGACTCTGCTTGGGACCCCGCAACTAGCTTTCCTAAGCTGGAAGAATGACACTCCTTTGTGAAGACACTCTTCCACGAAGCGTCACTTGCAGAAGGGCAGCAAATGACGGCATTCTTACCAATAGCTGTGGAATGCAATTAGATTTTAGTCTTTAAGCATTTTTGAATTGAGTCACTTGACTCTACCCCCATCGGTGAGAGCCCCTGGTCTGGTCCCACGTGGTAGCCAGTAACTGTATTACTTGCCGGGTGGCCTCAGTTAAGAGTTGGACCTGCCAAGGGACCTGGGCAGCTATTTCTACTTAACCAACACTTGAATTGAATGCTTAACCCATGGTTTTGGAAATAGCAATCATTTGGCTAACATTTACTGTGCTCCGCACACGTTATCTCTTAGTCTTACATTGATCGCTTGAGGTAAGAGGCTGTTATTAGCCTCATCTTACAGATGAGAAGACTGAGGGCCAGAAACGTTAAGTAACTTGCTCAATTTCTCACAGTTAGCAAGCAATAGAGCCTAGCCTCATTCACCAGGACCAGCTATATAATGTGTGGGGCCCAGTGCAAAATGAAATGTGGTCTCTTGCTAAAAAATGATGAAGAACATCAAAATGGCAACAGCAGAGCAATAAACCAAGTGTGGGGCCCTTCTAAGTGTGGGGCCCTGTGTGACCGCGTAGGTTGCACACCCATAAAGCTAGCCCTGCATGTATAGACACTCTGGTTCTAGAATGTACACTCTTAACCAAATACCAGAGCTGAACAGCACATGGCTTGGCAAAGATTTGACTTTGGCATGTAAATAGCCAATGGGAGTGTTACGTGTGTGCTACTCAGGCATAAACCCTCTTTCAACACCAGCTTTGTCTTCATAAAGGGCGTGGGACTGTTTTCAAGATAGGGGTGAACAGAACTAAGCCCTCCCTTGGTCCTTCTCACTCATAACAGACTGTCCTTGCTGGGCTGGTCATCTCCTGCCAAAAGTCACCAGAAAGCAGTTGGTGGGGTAGCTCCTTGGATGTCTTTTACTTTACTTAAGTCCAGTTCCAATGTTCTGGGCTGCTTCTACCTGACTGATAGCCTCTTTAGCAGCTGTGTCACCCCTTCTCATTTTCCAGCTTTTGCTGCCCCTAGCTGGACCAAGAGATACCCACGTCCTAAAGCCAGCCATGGACCCACCTAAGTCATTGAGCCAGTCCAGCCTGAGGTACAGATATTTTGTCCCTTGTCCTGGCACTGTGGGAGAACAGGAGAATTTCTAAAGGGAAAATTGGAACCAACCATCTGTTTTCTCTTGGGGCTTAGTTTTTCTGGAGACATATTGCTCAGAAGCTATTCCTTCCCACAGAAAACCCAGGGCAAGATGATAATTGCTAATACTGACTGAATGCTTCCTTTGTTTCATGCTTCACATGTGTTTAATCTTCACATTTCATCTCTAGTAGCTATAAGGTAGGTGCGATTAATAGCCCCACCTTTCAGACGAGGAAAGTGAGGACGAAAGGTTAGGTAAATTGCTCAAGATCTGAGAATTAGTAAGTGGAAGAGTCAGAACAGAAATCACTGTGGTCTTTGGTTCTAGAGCTTACATACAGCTGTTACACCTTACTTCATTCTACCAAGGATTCTGGAAGGATGGGCAGGATAGTCTAACAGGCCCAGTACAACTAGAGCCAAAAATCCAGGTATGTGGCCTTCCCATTGCCTCAGAGCAAAGCTCCAAAATGTAAGTTTTTGGATTTTTCCAGAATGACAGAGTTGAGGGTCAATCTGGGACAGTCTTTCCATATAGTTTATCAAAGGCAGGGGACACAAACACACACACACAGACACACACACACACATACTCCCATGCGCAAAACACAGCACTACTCAAGAATGGCGATGACTTTATGTCCAATATCAAGTGATGGCCTTAAATGTATTTAAAGACTTATTTGACTATTGCTTCACTAATGCCCTTACCTAAGAACTTGGCTTTCATTTTATTTTAGTGTTCTAGTCTGTGAACACTGAACAAAGAAGGAACCAGGTGTAAAACTACTGCTGCTGCTCCCATACTCCTTTGCATTGGTCTAGTACTTTACAGTTCACTGTTTTTTTTCCACATTGTCTGTGAACCTCTCCAACACTAGGATTTGGAAAGGTGAAGTGAGTCTAAGACAGCCAGGTAGAGTGAGATGGCACGGGATCCAGAACCTCCATCTTCTCACTTCTCTCTCATGCTCCTTGGATGACGAGGGAATGTTCCCTGAGCTCAGTACCTTGCCCAGGTGGTGGGGTAGATCCTCTCTGAAAGCTGGAGGGAGGGTGTGCAGCACTTGTCAGGGTGAATAAGATGCTGATTCAGCAGGTTCAAAGCCTCAATTTGTTTGCCTGTGTCTGCAATATGTTTCCTTCTGAGATATTCAGACTAAAAGAAAACCTATGTTCCCTGACAGTGACCAGGCAATTATGAGACAGTCAACTAAGAGTCATAAATGTTTCCACCAGTTACTAGAATGTTTCCAAGAGTCACCCTAAGCCTGCATAATGTGAAGCTTAGGTATAGACACATGTATTCCCTTTTCAATAGGGCTATGTTAATGTCAATGGGATTATTCTAGAGAGGAAGGCTTAGAAAAATGGTTTTATCCAAGTTCCTGAAAGTACCTGAAAAAAGTTCCAAAAGCTTTATTTGCGTAACTAAATTGAAATGGTGGTGAGTAAAAGAAAGGCTAGATTAGGAAGGCATGCCTGAACACTCACTTAAGACATGGGAACTGTAATTTAGATAATTTGTGATAAGAGGTTTGAATGATTCTGACTAGAAAATTGAAAGGAAAAGAGCCAGGTGACTCATCACCCAAAGGCAGAAAGCAACAGTGAGTCTCCAGGCCCATAGGAGGAAGAATGGTGGACCAACCATCAACGTGATTCTTTATTGTGTTGTTTCCCAATATGCCAGGAACCATGAACCCAATAACTCACCCATTGCATGGATTTAGAAACAGCCCCCACCAGAGTTACACTAATGTGGGAGAATGGTTAGGTGACTATCTAGACACTAGTTAGCACAACACTGCAATTTTCATTGGCATGAAAATGAATATCAAGTAATTTACACTCTTATCTCTATATAAATTGTGTTGATGCCAGAAGACTTTTTCTTCCAGCTCTACTTTCTTTAGTCCCGTGCATGTAGTGTAAGCCCAGTACTCTGGGCTTAACTATATGTGAGTAACTATACATGAGTTACTTATGTAATTGCAGAACTCTTAAGAATGCAGATGTTGGTGTTTTCAAAGCACTATTTGAAATACAACCAGCCCTGGTGGTTTAGTGGTTAAGATTTGGCTCTCTCACCACCATGGCCAGGGTTCATTTCCCGGTCCAGGAACCACACCACCCATCTGTCAGTTGTCATACTGTGGCAGCTGTGTGCTGCTGTGATGCTGAAAGCTATGCCACCAGTACTTCAAATACTAGCAGGGGCATGCATGGTGGACAGGTTTCAGCGGAGCTTCCAGACTGAGACAGACTAGGAAGAAGGACCTGGCCACCTACTTCTGAAAAACTGGCCATGAAAATGCTTTAAAGAGCAGAGGAGCATTGTATGATATAGCACTGTGAGATGAAAAGATGGCTCAAGAAGACCGGGCAGGGTTGCGTTCTGCTGTACACAGGGACTAGGAGTTGGAATTGACTCTAAGGCACTAACAATAAAAATTTCAAATACATATTAATAGACCAGACTATAAAAGGATTCTTTTGTAATTCAAACATCCACTCCACCAACAAACATTTATGTAGCACCTGATAACCCTCAATGCAAGAAGTGGGTGGGAGGAGAGGCAGGACTCGTAGATGATGTGGAGTTTTCCCAGTAAAGATAAAAAGAGAGCCAGGCAGAGCGAAACACCGCTGTCAATGGGGGAGAGAGGCACAAAGTCTTCCCTCGCCTACTCTTTACTGTTTTCAGGCTTCCCAGGGTAGGGCTGTATGATCCATGGGTCCTTTCTGAATTTGTACTAGCCCACACATCCTCCTTAAGGTGGAGCACCCATCACCTTATGAAGGCAGATGTTGAAGACAGCCACTGTCAGGAGGAGCGATGCCCAAGGGATGAGACTGTAAGGGAGAAGCTATTTTCAAATCTAAAAAAGGCATTGGTGGGGCCGGCCCGTGGCTTAGCGGTTAAGTGCGCGCGCTCCGCTACTGGCGGCCCGGGTTCGGTCCCGGGAGCGCACCGACGCACCGCTTCTCCGGCCATGCTGAGGGCGCCCGCGTCCCACATACAGCAACCAGAAGGATGTGCAACTATGACATACAACTATCTACTGGGGCTTTGGGGGGAAAAAAAAGGAGGAGGATTGGCAATAGATGTTAGCTCAGAGCCGGTCTTCCTCAGCAAAAAGAGGAGGATTAGCATGGATGTTAGCTCGGGGCTGATCTTCCTCACACACACACAAAAAAAGGCATTGGTGAACCTTCTCAGATGTTCAGGTCTCCCTAAACCAGACGTGTCCATAATGTTTGGTGTTTCTAAAATGCTACCATTTTCCATCAGAAATGCAATTCTGGGTGACCACAAATTTCCTAAAATGTAATCTAACTGGATACATTAAGATCCAGGAAACCTGGATGTCCTTAAAACTATTTATAAGGAGAGAAGGAAGAGAAGCAATGGAACAATGTTCTGAATTTTATAGGGCTTTTGAAATGAAGTTCTGTTCCCTAAGCTCATGAAGTGGGGTGAATGTAGAAACCCTTTAAGAAGTCTGTGGGTTCTTTGGTTCAGTCTCTTAATTTCTTTGCTACCTCACCACTCTCCTTCTCTCTTTTTAATATTTCTCACCAGGGTATGGGAATATTGCTCCAAGCACTGAAGGAGGCAAAATCTTTTGTATTTTATATGCCATCTTTGGAATTCCACTCTTTGGTTTCTTATTGGCTGGAATTGGAGACCAACTTGGAACCATCTTTGGGAAAAGCATTGCAAGAGTGGAGAAGGTCTTTCGAGTGAGTACTGCATCTATTTAAACCCTCACCTCTGTGATCCAATTGGCTTTATCCTGATGGGATCCAGAAGGAATTATCAGGGTGTTATGATATCATTATCACTTTTAATGGAATAGTTTAATGTTATGGTCGTATTTTCTGTTTTGACCCATGGTAGTCACAGGTACTCTACCTAAACTCTCTTCTCCTGAGTAGTTTCCTTCTTTAAACTGGTATTTCTGGAATCATAACACAAGAGGGTTAAGCTGAATTTGCCAACACAGATTTTCTGAAGACGTGAGACACACTCAGTTTCTTCTTAAAGACGTAAGATGGGTTCCTTAGGATATTTGCAATAAAGTAGAGAATTGTAAATCCATCCATTTTGTTATTGGAACCCCTTCACTCCTTTTTATTTCCAAGCACAGTGTCTTCAGGCTGATCCTGACTTTTAAGACCTCTTCCAGAAGCCTGCCTTTCCCAGCTATTGTTTTGTGCTTTATATCTGTCTGCTCATGGCTCCTTCCTCTCTCTCTTTCCACTGCTAAGTGCTCCCTCAGCAATAGTACCCTGATGTACTAATTTATACTAAGGTGTTGATGATTGCTATTGTCTTAGTGGGTTTTTTCCTCTTGAGAATACTTACCTTCAAACAAGGAACAAAAATCTCAACTCAAGGAATTTGTTTCCTAAAGATGGCATTCCTAGCATCAGTGACAGACATGTGAAGTAGATGTGATTGGACTAGGGTTCCCAATGCCCTTTAACTCACACCCATTCATATGATTTAACAGAACACTTGTTTGCTTAAGTGTAAGGTCATTTCTGCTCTCTTTCTCATGATTGACCTAATTCTCGTCTTTCAAACCTTCTTCAGAGAGTTATTTCTTATGATGACTTGCTATTTAAATTGACAATTTGAGATCTTTTTCAGAATCTAACAATGATGGGCAAAGATAGATCAGTGGTAAGCTCTAAATCTGCACTTGTTTTTCTCTCTGAGACAAGAAATCATGACAAACTTCTCTTTAGAAGAATGCGAGGGAGCTGCCCAGGTGAGCTGTTTCAGGTTTGATGGAGTAGAGTGGAGGAATAAGGCACTGTGGCTGGCTTAGAGCCACCTCCTACAAGCTCAGTGATCCTGGGTGAGCTGCCTCAGTTTACTCATCGGCAAAAGGGGATAGAATTCGAATCTACTTTATAAGATTTTGGTGATGATTAAATGAAATAATAAATGGAAAAGAGCTTGGCACAGGGCCAGACATGTATTGTTCAGAGCTGCTGTGTGTCTGTCTCCTGAAAGAGGCTCTCCTTGGCAGGATAGCCACCCATTCAGATTTCATCTGAGTAGCTCGACGGTGTGCGGGTTTTTCTGGAATGTCCTACAACCTTTGTCCCCTAAGTGCTGGCTGGCCAGCGGCCTCATTAGAGCCTGCACCTGGGCTCAGTGGTCACCATGGAAACCGTCAGTGCTCATCTTCTCTGATTCTCAGATGTTCAGGTCTCCCTAAACCAGATATAACAACCCCATCTCCAAGAGCTTTTTTGAACTTCTCGGAACTGCCCTTTAAGCCATGGCCTCATGGCCTTTTGAGTGAGAGAAAAATGAATCTGGCAGATTGATCTCTCGGAAGCACAGGATTCAAATAGAGAAATGACTGATCTGGCATTTTTGTTTTTATGTAGCTTCTCACTTTCCTTATCTGTAGAAAGAAAGAGTTGGATAAAAGCTTTTGAAATCCCCCTTTAGCAAAAATATAATGTAGTTACGGTATTCTGAATGAGGGAAGAGGTTGCAATCATTTTGACTACATTTGCTACCAAATTTGAGGACTTAGTTTCCCCTGATGATTTTGGACTACAAATAGAGAGTACTGTTCTCCTTCCCCTTAAAGCTGCTTCTCAAATGGATCATTCAACAGACTCTGGGACAGAGCCTTAAACATCTCACATTTCATTTTTCTGCTGATGGCCCACTCAGTTTCTTGCAGCGCCATCAAAGACTGGGAGTCTTTTAGGAAGGAGACGGCAGTATATTATCAAATTGGCAGCACACGATGTATGCATTTGCAGAGTGTTGGAGGATCCTGTTGGAAGGGATGACTGAGTTCCAGGAGGAATGTAAGCATGCTTCCTGAATATACAAACAACTGATTCTGCAGCAGTTTGCTTGCTGTGTGTAGTTTTGGTAGAAAATCTCAAAGCTCTTTGCCATTCATTTCAACTGCATCTAAAAGACCAGTTACTCTAAGGTGATTATTTGAGAATTGAAGTTATATAAACCAACAAAGCTTGGTGTGAATTTTCAGTTCCCATGGGGAAGGTTTGTATTTTTCCCACCTGCTCAGTGACTGTTAAGCCTTTCCCTTCATCTGTTATGTTTTCTCTCAGCTCCTCGGAAGAGAGGATTTTTCATGGAGTAAAGATACAATATAAATCAGCCTTCTAGGTGCCTGTAGTGTGAGGTGACATGATTTGGGTCCTTCTGCCTGTCTGAGCCCCATTTTAAAAAATTGCTGAGTGTTATGGTATTATTTAGGAATGCTTTTGGCTGCAGAGTAATAAAATACATAATGGTTGGGGGTTTTATGGGTGAATAAAAACTCTTTTTTCCCCTTTGAAGTTCAGAACTAATTAAGAAATAGACATAGGAGTCAGATGGAGATTAAAATGTCGGCCTTATTGCTGATAAGCTGATCAGAGAATGTAGCTTTAGCCCTGATGCCAAAAGGACTTACTAACCAGTTCACCCTAAATTAGAAAGACTTCTCTGCTATATTAGTTTTATGTTGTGTGTAACAAATTATCACAAATGTAGATGCTTAAAACAACACCCATTTATGATGTCACAGTTCTGTAGGTCAGAAGTCCCGTCAGGCTTGGCAGGGTGCTATGCTCAGGATATCACAAGGCTGAAATCATGGTGTTAGCCAGGCTGGGCTCTGGATCTGGGGAAGAATCTGCTTCCAAATTCATTCAAGTTTTGGCAAAAAATGGTTCTCTGTGGTTGTAGGACTGAGATTCCTATGTCCTTGTTGGTTGTCAGGTAGGGTCCGTTCTCAGCTTCTAGAGAAGCTGCATTCCTTGGCACATGGCCTTTCCATCTTCAAAGCCAGCATGGAAACCTTCTTTTATCTCTCTGATTTTGTATTTCTCTGAATTCCTCTCTACCCCTCTGCCACCAGCCAGAGAAAGTGCTATGCTTTTAAGGGCTCATGTGATTAGATCAGGCTTACATGGATAATCTCCCTGTGTTAAGGTCAACTGTGCTCTATAACATCCCATAGTCATAGAAGTGATAGCTCATCATATCACAGGTTCTGGGGATTAGGGTGGGACATCTTCAAGGGCCATTTTAGAAATTCTGCCTCCCACTCCCTCTCAGTCATCAGTAGCACAGGCCTCCTCCATGAGGGCAAGGTCTGCCCTACTAACCTTGCTGCATCATAGAGAGCAAAACAGAGTGCACCTCCCTGCAGGAGATGGTTTCAAATGGGAGAAGAAGTGGGCTGAGCTGAAGGAGCTCAATCTCTTCTGCTAAGTCCACCAGCTAGGTCACTTGTCTGGTTGAGCAGTGAGGGTAGAGGCCTGGAGTGTTACTCTAGCTGAAGTCCTTCCAGATGGAACATGAAGCCAGGAAAATGGACATTGCCCCCAACACTGATTAACAGTGGGTTAAGAATTCGACACTTATCTTGAGTAGCAAGAAGCCTGGAAGAAGGTTGTTTCAGATTTGGTACATCACTTCTCCAATGACAAGTTAAGGATTCTGGTACCAATTTTGATGTGTGGATTTTTTCCCACACCGCCAAGCAATTCTCTGACACCAGCTGGGTGTCCCACAACTCAACTCAATTCTGACACTGTCTACCTGGAGATAGCATCAGATCCCACAGGTTAAGGGCTCAATCCTACAAGACTGTTCTCCAGTTCAGATGAGTCCAGATTGTTACCTAAGCTCCTGACTGAATGGCATAAATCAGAGGTTCCCACAACCCCCTCCTTGGGTTCAATTAATTTGCTAGAGCAGCTCACAGAACTCAGGAAACCAGTTTACTCACTAGATTACAGGTTTATTACAAAAGATATTAAAGGATACGAATCAACAGCCAGATGAAGAAATGCATAGGGTGAGATCCTGAACAAAGGAGCTTCTGTCCCTGTGGAAGTTTGGGCCTGGCAAGTTGGCATGTGGGAGCATTCTGGTTCACCAACTTGGAAGCTCCCTGAACCCCTGCTTTTGAGTTGTTATGGAGGCTTCATTACATAGGCATGATTGATCCAATCATTGGCCATTGGTGATTGATTCGACCTCCAGCCTCTCTTCTCTCCCCAGAAATCAGGGGTTGGGACTGAAAGTTCCAACTCTCTATTCCTGGTTGGTTCCCCTGGCAACCAGCCCCATCCTTAGGTGACCCAAAAGTCATCTCCTTAACATAACAAAAGACACTTGTATCACTCTCATGGCTAGAAATTGCAAGGATTTTAGGAGCTCTGTGCTCGGAATAGGACGAAGACCAAATATATATTTCTTATTATAAATCACAATATCGTACAAGTATATCAAGTTTGTTCTCTTTCTGCTCTGCTCTCCTTGGCACGTTGACTTTTCATCCTCAGTCTTGTCATCCTGTGGTTTGCAAGATGGCTGCCTCAAGACCAAACATTGTATTTTCACTCAATCACATTTACAGCAAGACAAAAATTTCTCCTTTTATGGGAGAAAAATCTTTCCCAGAAGTTACCCTGCAGACTTCCCCTTCTGTCTCATTGACCAGAACTGGGTCACATGACGATTCCCACCTCCAAGGGAGGTTAGGAAAGTGAGTATCTAACAAAGGAGAATGGGGTGGATTGATTTAGTAGTTCTCAATGAGCGGTCCCTGGACCAGCAGCATCAGAATCCTCTGGGAACTCATGAGAAATGAAAATTCTTGGAAAAGTTTGGGCCCAGCGATCTGTGTCTGCCAAGCTTTCCAGATAATTCTGATGCCTACTAAAGTTTCAGAACCTTTAGCACA